CTTCTCCTTCTCCTTCTCCTTCTCCTTCTCCTTCTCCTTCCTCCTCCTCCTCCTCCTCCTCCTCTTCTTCTTCTTCTTCTTCCTCTTCCTCTTCCTCTTCCTCTTCTTTTTTTTTACCAAACTGCTTACCATACTGGGTGCCAGATGAACTTGAAGATCCTTAATGACTACAATATAATTTCCAACTAGGCTCAGTTCAAATCTGTTACATGCAAAACTGTTCAGTATAGAGCTATATCTGGTAGCTTCTGGTTATGCTAAATGTTACATCCAGCCAGCAAACCTTACAAGTTTTAATCCATACAAAACCAATTGCAAACAGTATTTAATTTGGGCACAGTATTGACATGGATATCTGGAAAAAAAATGTGGATTAAAAATATTAAATTTACTCTGTGTAATCATTTAAGAGTTGTTTTTTTTTTTGTAAAATCATGGATAGATGGCATTTGACACCTCTGAAACTATTTAAAATGTATAACAATGTTTCAAGTAAATGTTGGAAATGTGGAAAAGAGGATGAAACCTGTTATTATATGTAGTGGACTTGTGAAGTGGCCCAAACATTTTGGTTGGTGATCCACTGGACATTGGTGAAAATCATAGGAATCCCTTTTCAGATGAAACCAGAACTGTGCTTATTAGGGCTTATGGAAGTTGAACTGAGTAAAAATCACTGTGTCTTATTGTTGTACAGGATATGATCACAGCGGCAAGATTATTATATGTGCAGAAATGGAAAAATAAAGAAGCTCCAGATGTTGAAGAGTGGATATTTAAAGTTATGGATTTGGCAGAGATGGCAAAACTTAAAATGTTTAATGAGAGAGAAAGTTACAGAGACTTTTATTAAAGACTGGAGTCCATTTATGGATTATATTACAAAAGTAGAGAAAAATAGCTTGATGATAAAGGGTTTTATAGATTAAATAAGGGGAGATAATAGAAAAATTGAACAGTGACTACAATGGTATAAAAGAATAAGAAATGGTTAATGGATCTATGAGAAAAGTGAATGGCAGAAGTGGAAGATTTTTTTAAAGTTAGATGTTTAGTTTTGTATTGCAGGTTTATGTTTCTATATATGCTTCTGCATGGTGTTTTTTATGTTTATTTTATGTGTAGAATTTTAATAAAGTTTATATGGAAAAAGAAAACAATATTTAACAAGATATAGTGAACACGGAAGCCATAAATGATTATGGAAGACACCATCTAGGTACTACAGTTTCAATAGTAATTGCCTTATTTCTTCCAAAGGAAAATTACCCTAAATTTAAGACCATCAGTCCCAAAAGGAAAGTAGCTGGAATATATATAAATGGACAAGACAGGAGAATCTGGAATTGATGGAATGCTATACAACAGTAGACCTAATGAAAGGGGATATATCAAACTATGAGGGAACTATGGATGGACAGAAGACCTACATCCACCCTAACTGAGAAACAGCTAGTGTGATGGAATGCAGTAGAGAACCAGGTTCTCAGGAAGGAGCGCATTCCAAGGGGAAGCGGGGGAGACAAAAGACAACACAATCCAGAGCAGGAGCATGGGAAGAGGAAGAGACTTAGAATAGCCACTCCTAGAATCTTCCAGAGTATATTCATTAGGTTAGCGTAGTGTAGATTTAGTCTGGCAAGATTCTGTCTATATGATGTAAGCAGTAAAAGAACTGAACTTGGTTGGATTGTTTCCCTGTTATATTTGGGCTGGGCCTGACAGCTAGTTACCCAATGCTTTAATATAGTGAAGAGGAAGCTACTCTCACAACTTGAGATAGACCAACCATACATTACATCCCAGACTCAAGAAGACCAGAAGAACAACTGAATGTGCAACCAACACCTGAAGCTGGAATATCACTGCCACTCCCTCCATTACAGAGCACAGCAGCTGATATGAGGCATAGGATCATGGATAAACTAGCTACAGTCAACCCTCAAGACCTATTACCAATGCTCAGTGGAGAAGTACCATCAGATAGTATGCTAGAAGATGCCAGCAGAGCCCTCCAGACAATCCCTCCTACCACATTAACTCAAAGCAATGAATTGGTTACTACAGCTGCTGTAATCCTGGAAATGCTTGGCTACATGATCAAGAACAACAGCAGTACATAACCCCTCTGGAAAAAAAAGATTGGAGGCCAAGACCAAGACAACCTGGAGAGAAGTCAGTCAGCTGGTGGAACTACAGAAGAGTGTGGAGATTAAGGATAAAACATGGCTACTGAAAAAAATACAAGGGCCTGACTCCATCTGAAGCCCTAGAGAATGTTAAACAAAGGTTCACAGCACTGGCTGCCAGGCTAAGGAGATACACTAGAGAAGCAGAGGCCAAGAAGATAAATGCCCTGTTTGTCAAAGAACCATCCAAAGTGTACTCCCAACTGGAGTGCAACCACACAGTAAC